ACATCAACGTTTACAACCATTATATGATTGTTTATTAACAATAATTGTGAATATTTCACCTTACCTTAAAACTTTATCAATGGTTTCAAGCAATAAATTACTTCATTTACTTGAGGTATTTATTTTTATTTTTCTTTGGGAAAAATAATGTCATGTTCGAGTACAATATTTCGCAACTGGGCTCAATACTCCACCGATAGGGAGCTACGAGTTCGAGTCCGGGTCGACAAAAACGTGAACCCGCAGTTCTCTACATTGGTTACATAGTCTTGCTTGATCTTGTTTACTTAAATACAACTAAAACTATTCGATATAGCTGAAGATTTTGGTGTTATTGTTGGTTTGATGAATTTTGTTTATCAATAACTGTTCAATTTCCTTGTTTCGTTAACATAATGCTCTGTTCAACTAAGCGAAAATTTTTAATTTGTTAAGCATCGAGTGGTGCGAAAGCGAACAACAAGACATAACTGTGCCTTCACTTTTTTTCTGAGATTAGTCAATTAAATAGCTAAAACCGTGATCTTTCACTCGTTCATGTATACAGAGAGTACCGGATATTGGTGAAAAAACTCGAGTCAGAGTACACAAAAACGTCAACCCGCAGCTACCTACCGACCAGACTTGGATGGAAGCTAATCGACATCCGGCAGATACTTTTACAGTCTATGGTACGGTTTTCAAACTTTTATTTTATACGAATAAAGTACTATTTTGTTTTTTCTAATAAACAGCAAACAAAGAAAAAAGAGATCATCTCGAATTCCACAAAAAAAGCAAGTGATTCAAGATTCACTTGATGTCTGTGTGCTTCTAAAAATCGATTAATTGTATTAAATGTACGTTTACTTGTTGTTGACGACATTGAAATGAAACAGTGTCAGTGCCAAATGTCATAATTGTGGACATACAGATGAATTCTTTTCCCATTACGATAATACATTTTCATCTTCATGAATTCACTTAGTTTATCATCATCTGTAGATAAATTTTCATTAAAAAATGAGTTCTTTTAGTAAAACAAATCACTTTCTACTTTTGTCATTTGGTCTCAAATACTCTTAATCACGACCGAACCGGTTTTCACTCATATAAATAAAAGTTTGAAAAAGAAAAAATCTTTTCAAACGTCGAAATATATTAATTGTTTTGTCGAGTATGAGATCATACCCGGATGTATGTCTTGAGTCTGGTTGCAAAACTCTAACTAAAAGTTCAAAAATATAAATGAAAAATTCTTTTTTTTTTCATACGAATTTTTGTTAATAATAAGCTTTGAAATAGAAAAAAAAATAGATAAGAATTTCAATCATATATAATGAATTTTATGATTGCGATAAATGAAATGTGATTTTAATTTATTTAGGCATTCAGTTCACCATGGTTTTTATTGGCTGCACCGGATAACCATCATCTTGTTTTCTTTCTTCTCGAAGCTTTTAATAATCTTATTCAATATCAATTTGATGGTAACACATTTTCTTTTTCTTTTTTTTCTCAATTAATATTCTATTAAACTATTCTAGGCAATGCAAATCTTGTTTATACAATAATACGTAAAAGACAAGTATTTTTTTCTTTAAGCAATTTAGCTACCGATACTCAAACAATAGCAAAATTAAGTACAAAAAATTCTAATTTACCACCAACATCATCGAAAAAAAGTATTGATCAGTCAGCAAATAAACAAACTATTTTTCAAACAAATTCAAAATCAACTATTGATGGTGAACCACAACTTAATAAAGAATTTTCACAACAATTAAATATAAGTTCAGGTGGAGTTATACCCAGTGCTGTGACAACAACGCTTGCTGAAACGCCATGTAAATAAAAACTTTTTTGCATAAGATAAACTAATAAATCAAGCTTCGATCTCTGAGATTTTTTGTCATGCATAAATTTTATTTCGTGAATACGATACCGATTGTTTTATCATAGATAATCTATCCTTAGTGTTTTTCGAATTGAAAATGAGAACATACCTTACTATTACTTTAATATTAACTAAAAAAACTCTATATTAAATAATATTTTAATATCTCATAGCTATTCACAAAATGACTGAACGTACATTAGCCGCTTCACCTAATATAGACGGTAATGAACATCAACGTTCTGGTACCAATAATGAAGCATCACCATTATCGAGTCAAGTCTATATCTTTTAAATAGAACTATTGAATTTTCATTAAATAATCATTTATTTAGGCTGCTTCACCTTCATCGCCAACCATGGCATCTTCAAATCATTTTCAACCAACAGATAATAGTCTTTGGTCGCCAACATCTGAATGGGTACAATCATGGAAAGGCAAATTACCATTACAAACAATAATGCGTCTTCTTCAAGTTCTTGTACCACAAGTTGAAAAAATTTGTATGGATCGTGGTTTAACTGATGAAAGCGAAATAATTAAATTTTTACAACATGGAACACTTGTTGGTTTATTACCAGTACCTCATCCAATATTAATTCGAAAATATCAGCCAAATTCTGGTACAGTTATGTGGTTTCGTACATATATGTGGGGTGTTATTTATCTCAGGTAAAAACAAAATGAAAAAAATCAATTTATTAGAAATTTGTTTTTTTTTTCTTTATCTTTTAGGAATGTTGATCCACCTATTTGGTATGATACAGACGTTAAATTATTTGAAATTCAACGTGTTTAAGAAAAAAATAAATGAAAAAAAAATCTTCTATTATTGTTGTCATTGTCTGTTTTGTTCTTTTTTTTTGCCTTGTCTCGCATAATCAATTATTTTATTCTTCTTTAGTTCTCGTATATTTATTTAAATTTCTGATAAGCACACATAGAGAGAGAATTTATTTATTATTTGGATAATGGATAAAAAGAAAAAACGAAAGAGTAGAGGAGATGATGTATTTTACGTCGTTTTTTTTTTGTTCGTATTTAAAAAGTTAGTTATGCATTCGTTACTTGTTGTTGTTTTTTTTTCTGTTGTCATTTTTTTGGTGGATGCTTAAAAAAAAAGAATAAATATCTACATATATGCTATTGATCCACAATTAGACTAATTTCTTTTTGATATTTCAACGATAATAATTATAATACGAAAAAAACTCAGCTCTTTTTATAGGTATGATTGCCCTAAAAAAAACTGCAATTTCTCAAAAAAGAATAATTACTTTTCGTTCTTGACGTTAGTAAGTTTTCATTTATTATTAAAAATAATTTCAGTCAGTTCTTTTATTTTCGTGTTCATTACCTTTCCTTCGTTTGAATATTCATCATGAAACAAAAATAGTGTCCCGTCTAATGGTATGATATTTTTTGTTATTATTCATCGTAAAGATAGGATGAAGTGATCATGTTCGACAGGCTAATTATCGCATACAATCAACGGTCTGTCTGTCTGTCTATCTGTCTATCAATAAAATTGAGGTGAGAAAGAAAAAAAACAAAAAGACATTGATCATACTTCACTATCAACGAAAAACGTACTGAATCAATATTCTTTTTCTCAATGATTGATTGCCCAATTTCTATACAATAAACGTATGTAGCTTAATCATGATATATTTTGATGGGAACATTTTTTTTCTACTAAAACAAAAAAAAAATAACATTTTTTAAAATAAATTTTCGTATCGTCTTCTTTAATTTAGCTTAATCTAATTGTTAATTTTTTCTTCTGTGACAGTGTTTTCTTTTTGTTCCACTGAGAAATCAATTCGTATGATACATAGTTCCCCATATATTTATTATTTTGTTGCTCATTGTTATACTCTCTTGGTATGTTGAATGAGCATTGTTGTATAATCTTCTAAACAACGACAAAAAAAAAGAAAGAAAATCGAGTGAAGTTCAACTATGTAGGTATGCTCACGAGGATTGTCAGTCATCATCATTCATCAACACTTTAATACCGACAAAGACAAAAGAGAACAATTGTTTCTATTGAACTAACTAGATCAAGAATAAAACATTCAAGAATGATTCTTTTTTTTTTTTTCTTACACTGTTTTATGATTAATAGTAAGATATTACTAATGCAAACGTTCGTTTTTCACATGAAACACTTGATATATGCATACAACGTTATTCATGCATGTGCATATTGTATGGTATGTATAAGTGCTTGAATTTTGAGATTGAATTTCCATTTGAACAACGTTCAGTCTTACGTGAATATTATATCGGATGTTTATTATGTCCTGCAAACGAAAAAAAATCCGATCAAATATGAATAGAAAAAAGACGCATACAAAATTTCTTTCTCAAAATTTCGAGAGGTTATAAATGTTCATTTAAATTATAATAGTTGAAATAACAACAATCTTCATATGATATAATTATATATATATATTAAATGAAAATCGATCACCATTTTTCTTCTTTTTCTTCATTAAAGCCTTGTCAAATTTTTAATTTCATTTCGATCGAAGTGTTTGATGACCTTCTTTTTCTCTCTATGTCTCTCTTTCTATTGTCAATTTGATCTTTTCAACTTGTATACCATTCATTTAATATCCATCCATACACGCAAAATGTGTTTGTATTGAACACAAATACATATGCACACATAGTCGGGTAAATATCATGAAGAAAAAAAAAAAGGAATGTTGTTATGTTTTGTACAGGGAACAAGAGAATGGAGAGGATTGTATGTGTTTGCGCCTACACTCGTGCACTAGTCTAATGACCGAACGAAACGAACGAGAAAGTTAATACGATTTTTTTTTTCTCTTCTTGTCTATCTGTCTGTACGTGCTTACTCTCGTCCAAACAACATCAGCAGTTTAACTTGAATTTCCCTATCGATGAAGAAAAAAAGAGAAGAAAATTGATCATTCATCCACATCGATAACGTATGTACAATGTCCTTCAGTTTCAATAGACATTTTGTCAATTTCTTTCGTTTTTAATCAACAGAATGAAAAGAAGAATTGACCTTGTCCTGAATACAACTCTTAATTGAATGTCTTTTTCTTTTTTTTTCTTTTCTAGTATTTCTTTTTATTTATTTGGTAAATGACTTGGTGTGCAAAAATTTATGATATATTTAATGGATGGAATGACGCTGATGAAAATGAATTACCATCCACACCAGCTGCCAAATCAATTAATGGTCTACCAGAATCATCAATAACATCAAAAGTTACTCGTCTTAGTTCAATAAATGATAGTCCATATCTTGAAAGATCTCAATCCATATCAAGTGTAAACAATCCATTGAATTATAATAAACAAAAGTATGTTAAATTTTCATCAAAGCAAAATAAAATAAAATTGTTTTTCTTTTTTTAGTTATGATCGATATTTTTCATCATATGTTGATGATGATAATTATCATCATCAAGAAGAAAGATCGTATGGCATTGCAACAATGTAAATTAATTGATATTTTTGTTCATTGATTAAATTCATATTTTTTTTTTTTTTTTTTTTGAATTTATTTTTAGTTCGAACATGTCACTCAATCTACCATCATCTTATTTAAAGTATGTTTAAATTCTTCACATCTGTTCACAATCAATTCTTATCTTAATAGAAGGAGAATGAGATTGATTTAGGATTTTTTTTATCATATATCGATTATGTCAATATTTTCAAAGATTTACATATCACCCTCTGCATCAACTGGCATCTTTTCCTCTCCTTCTTTTTTCCCTTCTCTTAAAGATATAATCATATCATACTTTTGATGTTTCTTTTTTTTCTAATGTCTGTCTATCTATAGGTATATAGGAAGCCAAAACGAACATAACCAAGAACAACAACTGGCAAGAAGTTATTCATTTGAATTGAAAAGAAATAATTTTTTACTACCATCACCTGACGATATTGGCTATCCAACGTCACAACAAATGAATCGACAACGAAATAATTTTGATAAATCATTAAGATCTTCATCGATAAATGCTCTTGTGAATACTGCTATGATAGGTAGTCAAATTTCGTTATCAAATAGAAAGGTAAGACTGATATGTTCAATGATCATTTCATTAAAGATTTTCGATTTAAAACTGATTAAATATCAATGTGACCATTTTATTTCACAGTTTACGGTTAATTTTTTCTTTTTCTTTCTTTTTGAAAGCCATGACCGTGACTAAAGTCTTTTGATGATTATCTATTCAATGTAATTCCATTTTTTTTTCTTTTTAATTATTCATAAGTGATCGTCTCAGACATGCACATTAGTATATGAAAATAGAACAAACATCGGAAGTTTTGTTTTTTCGTAATTAATTAAGTTACACTTTAATTGCAAAAAAAAGAATTTCTATTTTTTTGTTCATATTTGAAATCGATACGTTTCATTTTTTTTGTTCAAATGCATCTAAAAAGTACGTTATAAAATGATGATCTTGTAACTATTAGATTACTTAAATATGTAAGAGCGCCATATGTTGATCAATGAAAAGGTCAAGTATTTATTGTACGACATTTACTATAGGTTGATGTTAACAATCAACATATATTAAAATAAATAAGTTGATAGTCATTGATCAAATTTCCAATTTACATTCATTTTAAATGAAAATATTTACTTTTCATGTGAATATACATGCATTTATCTTGTCATTTATTCTTGCAGATACTTTTCATCAGTAACGTGCAGATAATTGAGCAAAAATTTTTTGTCATGGTTGGATAGAGCTTGTTAAAGTACTTCTAAGAAAAATGTAATTTTTGTCATATTTGTTATAGTGACAATTATATTAAATAGAAAAGTCGAAAAAGCTTATAAAAATAAAAATATGTCAATGTCATCAAATATCAATATTTATCCGAATTGTATATTTAGATTTTATTCGTCATGCAATTAGGAAAAAATTGTGCATGCTTTTTGAAGGATATTATTTGCTTAGGGGTGTCACCAGGATTGAAAGAGGGGAGTATATCTCAAGTACTTTTTCGAGAATTACTCAGCCAAAAAACTGAATAAAACATTCCAGCTTTACTAGATAAAAAACAAAAATTTCTCAAGATTATTAGGAGGGGGTGATTCCTCTGACTATGAAAACTTCTATGTTCGTTTGTTCAGAAAATCGACTGTTTCGATACAATAGCAAAAACCTATAAATATGGGTATATTCTAGGATTTTGACTATCAGAACTTCAGTTCTAAATGAAACGAATATCATACTCAGAATTAGGGGAAACATCTACATCAAATAAAATATTTAATACTTTAAAACTAATTCTCATTAAATTTTGACTGTAGAGGAAGCACAAGTGTGTGTATTCGAAAATAACAGTAACGAATAAGATCAAAAAAAAATATGTTAACCCTTTAGGCGTTTTTCTCATTTTGTCACACAAAGAATATTTTGTAGGTCTAGTCAAACCCACAAAAAAGCGTTCGAGGGTTAGAATTTAATCTAGATTATATTCTAATTAACAACGAAAGATTTTTCTAATTCATTTGTGTATTAACTATAGCACGACTTGATTTTTTTTTTACCTTATAGGAATCATTGAATCCAAGATTATCAACACGTTCTTCATATTCAGTTGCTGAATATGAAACAAATGATATACCATGTAGAAATAACGAACAAGTTGCACAAACTATTCAATACCACATAAAACAGGTACATTTGATTATGTTTTTTCGAGTTACTTTTGTTCATTTGTCACGTTACTTTTGTTCGAGAGACAGATGAAGAAAACAACAGCTAAACTCTAAAATTCTCATGAGATTCTACTCAATATATAATATATATTGTTTTTTTTCTATATATTCATTAGATGTTGACATCGTCACCCAATAGTATATTTCCAATGGTCTATCGTTTTCCATCAAATGAAATGTTAAATTACAAAGATCCTTATCGTATTGAAGGTGGATATGATGAACCATCACAATGGATAATTCAAACAAAAATAGCTCCAGTTGAATGTCGAATTATATCCGATAATGTTGCTTCAATTTATTCAAATCATTTTTATGATCAAGTAAAAAACAAAAAACGTTTTTTTTTTCTTCTAAATATACTTTCTTATTATTATTTAGTATCATTATAATTTATTTGGAATTGATGATAATTCTAATCCAATTGTTATGTCAATTAAACCATATGATAATCGTTTAACAATGATTGTTCGTACAAAAGAAATTTCAAAATGTTTAGATTTAATTGAAAATGAATCAAATTCAACTGATTATGTTTATTTAGCAAGACAACTTTTTCCCTGTTTACAAGTTGATCATTTTGAAAATTGTACAAATTTCAAAGTAATTAGAAAAAAAAAACACATTTTTATTATAGATTGAAATAACGGAATTGATCGTAATAAATTGATCGAAATGTAAATGCAATTAATTCATACAAAATATTCATTCATATACTAAAAGATAGTGAGTTTTGAGCTTTCCAAAACTAAGTCCTTCATTTTCAAAAAGAACATTACACCTTTGCTTCGACAATTCAAATATTTATATATTCTGTGTTTTCCCACAGTGATATATCGTTTCTCGTACTTTGCAAAAATATGATAGATCTCAAAAACAAAGAATTTTGTCTTCTATTCAGTCGATTCAATTTCTAGATATATAAGCTTTACTTGGAAATTGAACATATCCTTAAATGTGGTATTTTAAACAATCAAGTTTGTTTTGATTTTTTTTTAAATTAAATTTCAGCTGCCAAGTTCACATTTGAACACTGTGCAAGACTACCTTCACGAAGAATCGTTTTTGTTTTTCATCTATTGCGTCCTAGGTTTTAATATGAAACTGTCATTTCAAGTTTTTTGTTTGTACTTTAGTTCCGCAACAGGGGTATACAGTGCATCTCAGTGTATGGATTGCCTTCGCAATTAAGAAAATAAAGCTCTTTGTAAATGTGAGTATTTTGTATGAATAGTAAATGATTGAAAAATTGCATTTGCAATGATAGCCCACGTATTTTATGTTTGCGTGTGCACGGTTTTCTATCAGTTGATTACATACATAAAAAATAAATTCCAATTAGGACTTGCTCTTGTGTTATGATGTACTTTCCATTGATTATTTGGAAGACAAGACAGTATGGGTACAGATGAGACTCAGACTCGCCCCCACACGGTCTGCTGTCTTCAAAATAATCAACGGAAAATAAATTATGTAAACCATATGTTTAATTTTGTTGTTGTTATTTTTGTTTTACAGGCACAACAATTTATAAAAACATATGATGAAAAATTAGAAACACATAAATTTAAATTTGGTGTCATTTATCAAAGACGTGGACAAGTAAAATTTATATTGTTTACTGAAAGAAAAAGAAAATTATGCAAATTTTTCTTTTAGACAACAGAAGAAGAATTTTTTAATAATGAACGTCATGGACGATCATTAGATGAATTCTTAGATATCATTGCAACAAGAGTTTCATTAAAAAATTTTAAAGGGTATTTTAAATTCTATGTAATTAAAATATCATCTTTTTTTTTCTTCTATGATTTAGTTATCGAGCTGGTCTTGATGTAAGCGAACAAACAGATTGTCCAATATCTTATTATGAATTATATGATCATAAAGAAATTATGTTTCATGTTAGTACATTATTACCATTTACACATTCAGATACATCACAAATTCAACGTAAACGTCATATTGGAAATGATATTGTTGCAATTGTTTTTCAAGAGGAAAATACACCATTTCATCCAACTATGATTAAATCAAATTTTTTACATGCTTTTCTTGTTGTACAACCTGTTCAAGTACTGTCAAGAACATGTTATAAAGTAAGATTATCGACTTTTCATTTTAATAACTAAAGCAATGATATAAGCAAAAGTTTTATCTCATGAATGTTAAGTTTAACTATTCAAAATGTCCTATATGATTAATGTCGGTTGTGAGTGTCTATTGAATATCATTGAATTGATATGTGATTTTGTTTGCGAAACATTAAGATAATTGCATGAACTCGACCTTAAACTATAAATCTACAATCTTGCTCTCTGAAGTATCGAAACAGAACGCTGTTTTTATGAAATGATAAGTTCCTCTTTCCAGGAAATTCAAATGCAATAGCTATGAGAAATAATCGCAGAAAATTGATTTTAATATAAAAAAAAAAGAATATAGAACCGCAATGTGTATTTCTAGGATGATGTTGGATCAGAAAATACATCATATTAATATTGACTATTTACAACTGCTTTATTACGTTACTTGAATATTAGCATTGATAACTAGCGTTATAAGGTATAGTGGATGATATAAGTTTATAGCAGTTGTATTTTTAAGTTTTCTTCTCGGTAGTAATAGCTAGCAAGAGTCTGAAAAAAGAGCTATACAGCTGAAAGGATCCTCTACCGCAATTAATAGGCTCAAAGGTTTCAATAAAACTGCTTGGATGAAAGTCTTTGGGTAACCAAGACCTTTAATGCCAGAAGTTCTGGCATTTGTTCGAAGCTTTTGAGAAAAGATTTTATTTGATAGAGCAAAATGAGATGCCCTCAACCTCCTCGTGATCTTCTGACATCGAACTGTGTTCAATTTACAAGAAGTGCCAAAGCGCCAAGTATGGCAAAAATATTAAAATTTTCAATAAAAAGAGGGAAAAAATATTTCTTTGACTTGATGAATGAGGGTCATGAAGAGATCAAAGACATCTTATTTTGCTTTATCAAATAAAACCTTTTTTTCGAAAAACTGCTAATGATTGCTAGAAATCTGGTTTTGGAAATCTTGGTTTTCCAAAGACTCTCATTCAAGCAGTTTTGTTTAGCGTCTTCGAACCTACCAATCCTAATAGAGAGTTCTCGCTAGCTATTACCATCGAGAAGAAAACTGAAACTTACATCGTCTATTGTAGTTGTTTTACTTTGTCTTCAACTTCCAAAATATATTTAAAACAAAACGTTAACTAGCTCACTCTGACCTAAGTGAAAAATATCAATGAAATTAATATAAAAGTGTGGTGTGAGTGAGAGTATTCGTGTAGATCATGACCTTGTCTTTACCTGCACACACTTTATTCCAACACCTTCAATAATAATCATATTCACACTCTATATTCTTTTTTCATAAAATAATGAACTTTCTGACTCAACCGCCAATCTAACACTTGTGCTCCTTCGATTGAATGTGTAACAAATGAACTTTAGATATGCATCATCGGTATACAATCTGGATCCTTGCCGTAGTATTCATTAACTTGTATAATGACGTGCAGAAATTTGAATTTTCTGTACGTTCCGTGAACTTGCATAAAAATTGATGGATCAATTCATAAAAGTACTTGATATCTGAATCTTCAAATTTGATTGGAAGTCGTAATAAAATATTTCTTTTCTTAGAATTTCACTTCATAAGATAGCTGACTCAAACATTCGATATACAGTTGACCATGCATCTCTTTTTGCTCTTCCAAATAATCACAACTGCAAGAAGTCGTCAACTACTTGCATTCTGAAAACGGAACACATTATATTTCTAAATCGATAGTAATCTATTAGTAATTAGATGTATGCAAAACATATTATACTATTGAAAGACAAAAAGTTATGATTAAGAATGTAATAGTTAAATTTATTGAAGATTTATATTAATTAAATATTTCTTTAGATGACATTAGTCACTCGTGATGATATTGAAGTATTTACTCCAATACTTCAACGAAATGTTGTGTATGTTCGTAGTGCTGAACAATTAAAACCATTTATATTATCAAAATTAATTAATACTGAATATGCAGCATATCGCTGTCGAACATTTTCATTATTACAAGAACGTACACGTTGTTCATATTTAAAAACTTTATGTGAAAATTTAACTGAAAAATCTTATGATTTATTGTGTGATGAACAAAAACGTGCTAGTCATCGTCGTTTATCTATATTATCAAATTCAACTAAAAAACGTTATTTTTCAAATATGAAAAAAATGTTTACACGAACTAATAGTACACCCGATGGCCCTCAACAATCTAGTAAATCTGAACAACCGATGAGTGATAAAGTATTAAATAAAAACAAAAATAAAACTCAAATATATATTGAAAAGAAAATATTTCTTCTTTCTTCAAGGAACGACGAAAAACTGGAAAGAAATTATTACGATTAGGAAAATCAGATAGTGGTGATACTCATCAACGTTCGTCAATAACAATATCATTACCTGAGTATAATAAATAAATTTATTTTTAAAACTTTAATAAACATAGCCTTCTTTTTTATTATTATTTCGTTTTAGTCAAGAATTAACACATGACAATGATATGATTAATCGGTAAGAAATTTTTTTTTGAATCATTATTGAAATAAATATTCGTTTTCTTTTTGTTCCATATCTAGACATATAACTGTTCGAAGTGATGAAAGTTTAGATAGTAGTGGTGATATACCAACATCAGAACAACGCTCAACAACACATCATTATCCTCCACGTTCAGTACACACATACGTTGGAGATGAATCTGATGAAGGATTGGTAAAAATATTCATTAAATATATAAGACAAAAAAACATATGTATTTAATTTATAGGATAGTATGTCATCAGCTGATACAGCTTTTTCTCATAATCATAATCGTGTGCCATATGACAGTGATGATCAAGATGGTAATGCTTTGAAAAAAATTATTTATTATTATGAAACACAATCTAAAAGGAATTTTGAAACATATAGGATAGAAATTGGTGTCTAGACTTTTCCCTTGCCTCAACACGATACCACACGCTACCAAGAAATCATTACAAGTCATGATAAACATGATCGATAGACTGTAACAGATACGTTAGAAACGACTTATGAGACGCATAATAGTCATCACAGACCGTAATGCACACGAATAACATTTGCTTCCCCTACAACGTGCATCTAGGCGGACATTTGAGTAAAACTGAAAATCATGCTTCTTCAAAATTTAAACATATGAAAATGTACTTTGAAATACAGTCTATCTAATGCTATAAATAACTTTGTTAGAATTCTCAAAGCAACTGAAGAACTTCTTTACCAAAAATCATCCGAAAAATTGATATCTGGCAAAATTAAACTATTTGATAGACAAATCGAGTACATTTTCTGAATCTCCAAACCGAAATTTTTAGTCTTATAAAAAGTATTTTTTTACTTTGCACGTTTAAATTCTGAGAAAAAAAAGATTATTTTTTCCACGGTTTCGTTCGAACTAATAATTCACCTACATCCAACTTCTCCAAATTTTGCCAGAATTTTCTTCTATATATTGTTTTCTAATTTCTGTTAGTGCAAGCGTTCTGGAACTTCACAGTGAGTTTCCAAAAAACCAAGGTTTTTCAGTTTTTCTGGCTTTGGAAAAATATTTAATCGACAAAAATAGCATATTCGGAACCAATGCATTACGCTTCGTTGAATGGTATATAACACAAAACAATTTTAAAGAAAAAGATTTTCTCAGCAATATGAGGACAAAGGTTCTCTCAGGCACTTTTCTCCAAAAGTGCTTTTTTGCGTCCTGTCCAATCATTTCTGAACAAAGAAATTCGTTTCCAGACAAGAAAGTTACATGTCCACCTTGGATACGAAAAATGCATACTGTGCTTTCATTCAAAGGAAAACAGCAGAGTCCTCAGTCTTGAATTCCTTTTCCCACATCACAGACTGCCACTGACATTGTTGATATGTGATCACTGATTGTATATTAATACCATCTCGTTTTAATATGTAAACTACTTCTGTATTGTATTTTTAGAAGATTAAGTAAAGAGATTATGTGAAGAAATGAGTCCCGAAATATATAGAATAAAACAATCTTTCTGTGATTAGCAACAGCAGTTGCATTGTGTTTCACATATTAATCCCACAAGGATTACACTAACAGATTTTTGTTTTCTTTTAGCTTATCGACAACAACTTCGTGAAAAGTCTCAACCATCTCATATTGTATGTAGTCAAAATATATGTATATTATTCAAATAAAACTTTTTCTAAAATTTTTTAGTCACATCCATGGCATCGTATAGCCGGACAACGTCAAGCTAATATACAAATTTATACACCGCAAGTAGCTGGTATTCATATAAGTGAAGCAGCAACTGTTTAAATACAATGTCATGAATTCATCTGGTTTTCCACATGTTGTCATTTTTATGAAAAATGTAGTCTATGCATATATATATATTTGTTTTATTTCGTTTTCGTTTTTTTTTCTTTCACTTCTTGTTGTCGTCGTTATACTACATGCATTATCTAAAAAAGATTATTTTTTTTTGCGTGCATTAACATAAAGACCTTTGATTTTTTTCAAAATAGACGATTGTATAAATATATGGAAGTGATTTTAATGGAAGAATGATTTACATAGAAGTACTAGTTGAATTCGTAGATGTTTATTTTAATTATACGTTGCCTAAAATAGTTCAACATAGAAACGATTTTAATAGGTAGAAGTACATTTACATATTATTATAGTATGTTGTTTATAAAAATAACATGATGAGAATTCGTTGCATGAACTATATAAAAATTCAATTTACTATCGAAATATATATATACTTAATCTCTATTAGATCGGTATATGAAAGTGTCTATATTTAATTCATTTTTAAAAACAAAGTAAGACTAATCTCTAAGATTACTTATTGTAAAACATAAATATTACATTTTACTCAAACAAAATTGATAAGTTCAACACTTGAGACGTAATGTTTAAAACAAACTCTAATACAACTCATATAGGATTAAAATATAAAGCACAATGCAGTTGTTTTTATCAGATATATTGCACGATGTTCTATGAGAGAGAGAGAGTACAAATAAATAGTTACTATCCATGCATTCTAATGACTGTTTTACAAAAGATTTTCTTTTTATCAAAAGATTTCTATCCAAAAAGGACAAAAAATAGTTTTTTTTAAATCGTAGTCAAATATTGGATATAATCGACTATCTGTATTGACTATACTATTTTATTCTGGGTCATACATTGTGTGACATTTAAGTCCTTGCATGAGCACCTGTATCGTCATTGCCAAGCAATTATTTATCATACTCAATAATATATTTTTTTTTAAGCAATAGAAATGACATAAACCAAAATGATTGAAATCTAAACATAGGTTTTACTATTATTTCTCAATGGTTATTTCGAAATAAAAAAAAACAACAATCCCTTTAGGACTTCTGAAATATATTGTTTTTAATAAAGTTAAAAATAATTTGATAAACTTATCAATAATTAGAATATTAAAAGCAAATAAAAAACAAGTCAACTATTAATATGAGATCAATTAAGATATGTCTTATGCATGTGCATATATCGAGTGTCTTCCTTATTTAATAAAAAGCTTAGATCGATAATAAAATAAAATCTTCATTATGCACGTTTTGCATATATATTTATATTTTTTTGATCTTGTCGTGAAAAAATGCATTTGTATGTTAGTGAAATGGGCTTCATTTGACTTGATTATTTTTATTTGTCAATTGCTTTACGTTATGTCAAATAAAGCCATTGAGAAAAAAAAAAGCCTTCGTGTTCAAGGTTAACGTCTTTCTAATATGAATATTATAAGCCAGAATAAACTATTGTTTTACATTATGTGTTGTATTTAGTGTACGTCATATGTTCTTCAGACAAGAAGGTCACATTTTTATCGATATGAACAAATACTTAACAAGACAGTGTAGAAAAAATAAAACATATATGAACAAAGCAAGAAAATATCAAACACGCAAGTGTTAGGATATTAATCGTACAGGATACTGTTCTCTATGTACTAATCCAGACGCATTAACCTTTGATCGAGCTAATCACGATTCAACAATGAACATTTTCGAAATATGATGAAAAGAAAATCGATTATATTATATGCATCAAGTTTCTTTACAGACAAACAACCTTCATCTATTCCTTCTATCGGTCTAAAAATAAGCGACACATTAAACGATATCGTTTATATTGTCCTTGATTTTGTTGGTGCCATCAGACACGACTATTGTGCATTACACACTAAGCAGGTGGGTTACATCATAAAATAGCTTTTTTTTCAATATGTGAGGATGTATATTCTACGTATTACGTTTTTCTTTTCCTTACCGACAAGCATATTTTGCGTACACATGTCTATTCTCTCGAATGTCCTGTCATTGTCGTTAGTAATATGTTTTTGTCAAATCAGTTAAGTAGAAAAAAAAAATGTGAAGTCGCATAAATGCATGTAAAAACATTTTAGATTATTTATTTTGTTTTTCGACTATACAAATTCAATAGTCATTATCATCCGTGAATAATTATTTGTCTTATCAAGAAAAAAAGCCTTCAGGTAAGAATATCAAAAGTAAAGATAAAATTAAAAAGAAAACGTGCATTAAATAGATAGTCGATGAAATATAACTGACATAAAAACATTTAACATTATTGCTCTTTTTTTCTCTTTACGTTAATAAACAGGTAATATAATAATGTTTTATTTTATTTGATTTTGTAGGCGCAAAAACATACTGAACAAAATCAAAGTTTGACCTCAGAATATAGACATTCTGATTAAGTATGACATGAATGAATAGGAAAATAATAGTAAATAAATGAATGAACAGACTATTTTATCTGTAGATATAATCTTCTATCTAAAACTAAAATCATTCAAGTCCTTGATGTGCGCAATCAAAACATGAATGTACTATTGAGAATAATTGTAATCGTTTTGACACTAGTCAAAACAAGAGACAACTGAAAAAATGTACAAACATACATTTTGATTGTTTTGATTTTCGAGTATTCAATAATTAATTTAGATAGAAAGAAAAGAATGAATTAATGAAAGCAAAAATTGAACAATATACACTTACGAATAAGTCTCTGCTAAACTAAGAACAGCTTGAAACTATTTGCGTTCATGGCGTACGGTTGGAGGGTTATGATTGTTTCAATGAAACTTTTACTGAGAGCAAGTCTGTTCTGATTCCGAAAAATTGGAAACAAAATGTTTCGAGCTGAAACTATGTCTGTAGGTACGTTTAATAGTCATTAGATAGTTCTGAAAGTTTCAATGCAAACGAACATGTCTCTCTCAAAATATTCAATATCTAAAAACACAACAACTTATCATAGAAGATCACAGTAATCAGGTCTACTGAAAAATTGAATATTTCGAAAAAGACATGTTCATTTTCGTTGAAACGTTGAGAACTATCAAACGTACCTACAAACGTAATTTCAGCTCGACATACTTTATTTCGAATTTTTCCAAAGACATCCAACAGGTGAATATGTTCTCTCGTTAGTGTACTATTGAGAAATTCCAATTAAGCAGTTGATAATTATGACATAGAAAACAAATCTCCGAATTAAACCATCTATGGCATCTCTTAGATAAATATTCTTTGTCTTCTTGTTTGGTCTATGTACATGCTGAACATATGTGTCCAATTTATTTTGGCATTTCTTCTCTTTTTTTTGCCTTGTTTGATCTTCATCTATTTGTGTATGTTGAGATAGAGAAAAAAAGTTTATGATTTATATCAGGAGGATAGAAAAGAGCATGATTGGAGTGTAATCGTACATTTGTATGCTGACCAGTATTAACATTGATTCGACGTTGAAGTGTTATATCTATTTTACTATATTACAATGATCAGTTTTATGGCAATAATTGCTGAATATTGTTGGAGAAGGAAAATGAATGAACAACAAAACTATCGTATGTATTGAGACATCATTTTAAATGATGCATACATCGAAACTATTATCGTTTTGAATAGAACGTGTGAGAGTGTAGGTGTGATAGTATGGGTGTCCACTTTTGTTCTTTAATTTTCTATCAATATATACTTTTTTGTTACATCACGTCAGTCTTTCATTTGAGCGCACTGTAATTATATAGTGTACAGTGTGATGTACTGCACCATTGTATATATATATCTGTCTTTCTCCTTTGTTCATTCTAATTTGTCCTACAGGTTTAAATTTCACATACTCACACAAATGAACCTAGTTATTCAGACGCCTCCTGTCCATTAAATGACTGAAGATGGAAAGAGATAAATACTCTAATCTACCCTTTATTTTAATGTGATCAGACCGTCGAGTATAAGCGATGCTGATGGTTCATATAAAAGAAGCTGAAATAAATTTTGAATCAATGGGAAAGAGAAAAAAAGGACGAGACCGAACGTGTAGTGTATAGTAAAAGAGAGAGAAGCGAGAACGAAAGACAATGACCGAAAGAGTCTAATGTGCTCTATAAAAAAAAAATAAAGCCATTCATTCATATGTTCTTACCAGCAATGAAGCCTCAGAGTTGAACGAGAACAAAAAAAAGAAAAGTACAGTTGCTTATTTCAACTAATCATAATTATGCGGAAGTTATAGAGTCAGAAAAAGAAAGTTTATGGGTTGTAAGTAAATAATGGGACCATTGAATGAAATGAAATTTTGTTCATGACGTTTTTTTCTTTTTTCTTTAAAGTAAAATACATTCAAAGGATGGCTACGGCTATCGAACAATTAGTAATTGATCCACAATCCCGTTTTCTTGAAATGAAATCTCTTCAACCATATTCAACTACCGATGAATATTTATATGCCATGAAAGAAGATCTTGCAGATTGGCTTTCAAATATGTATCCAGAATGGCGTCCAATTACAGCTGATAATTTCATTGAATGCTTAGGTAAGAAGTTCAATATACAATTATATTGTTTTTTATATTATTATCTGTGAATGATGATAGACAACAAAGAATGAGTTTTAGAAATCAAAATAATCATTTGTTATTTTAGCATTATTTTTTCTTGTTATTCGTCTATTGACTTTTGTTGTTTGCCTTTAGCATAGAATGGCAAGATGAGTTTGAAGTGTTTGATTGAAAAAGAGAACAACATGTTCAACTAGTCTATTTGACAAGATGCATCTAATTTTATATTATATTAATTTTTTTGAATATTGAATAGAATTCTAATTTCTATGTTTAGTTTATATTCAATATTAGAGTTCATTCTTTTATGCTTGTTAGAAAGTTCAAAGAACAATAAATTCTAACGATGATTAAGAGTAAATGATGCGAATAAAAAAAAAAACATTGCCAGATGGACAGACAGAGAGTTGCATAGCCATTACCCGGAAGCCATTCAAACTAACTGGATTATTCTTAGACAATGTACATATCGAAAAATGTTAATTTTTAACTTTTGTCGAAGGCAAACAAACATTATATAGATGTGTAGAGTTGACCGAGCATTAAACATCATGCGTAGTTTCTATTTTTGTGGAACTGACAAACCAATAGAAAAACAATGTCGAATTTAACCTGATTTCAATTAGAGAGTATTCATTTAGCAAGTGTTCCACAGAAAATATGTGGTAACATTAAAGTTAGTGTTCCCACTATCAAAAAGTGTTCCATGCTTCTGATATTATAAATATATCAGAAGGTGGAACATCAACTTTAATGTCTTATCATGCCATGCAATGAAATATAGTAGAAATCAATCAAGCTAAATTTTTATATAAGTTTAAGAAACTTTTATTTTTAATACTTAGAAAATGGTGTTCTTCTTTGTCAACATGCTAATAATGTAAACAATGCTGCACGTAAAGCATATTCTTTAAAATTAGCGCCTCGACCATTAACATCGACACTAGAAAATTGTAAATACCGTTCCGATGCTCGCTCACAAACATTTAACGCTCGTGATAATGTTTCACAATTTATTAAATGGGCACGTCGTGTTGTTGGTGTACGTGAAGTTTTAATGTTTGAATCTGATGATCTAATATTACGAAAAAATGAAAAAAATTTTCTTCTTTGTTTACTTGAAATTGCACGTTATGGTTCACAATTTGGTGTTAGTGTTCCAGTTATAATAAAATTAGAGGATGAAATCGAACGAGAAATTCAACGTGATAAACAAACAGAAATAATGTCATTCACTGAATTACGACGTTTACAGAGAGAAGAGAATCTTAAAAATATTACCAATTCATCAAATCATAGAAAATATAGTCGATTATTAAAATTTGTTCGAAATGAAAGTATTGATTCAAATAATAATAATAATAATAATAATAATAATAATGAAACAGCAAAAAATTCTTATAATACTTTTTCTTTATCACATTCAAATGGTGCTAATTGGTTAAGACAACGTATATCACGTATACCAAAATTTACACATAATAATAGTAAAAAACGACAAAATAGTGGAGAAAGTCATGAAAATTCAACATGGAGTGATGCAACAACGACAATTACATCAAATAAAGAACAGAAAATACCACAAATTAGTCGAACTTTAGGAGAAGGTGAAAATAGAGTTGAAACACCATTGACATCATCACAATTACATAAAACAGTAAGTCTTATATGAAAATTAATAAATGAATAGGATTATTATTTTCTCTTGGCCTTTTTTTATAGGTTGTACAGATGACAAATTCATGTTGTTGTGCACAACGTTTTCCTGTTATACGTATTGGTGAAGGAAAATATCGAATTGGAGAAAGTGGAGCAATTATTTTTATTCGGGTATAGTGTTTTCTGTTTTTTGACCGTAGTAATAATAAGTTAATCGTTTTCTTTCTTGTTCTTATATAGATTCTCAGATATCATGTAATGGTTCGTGTCGGTGGAGGTTGGGATACTCTTGAGAATTATCTAAATAAACATGATCCATGTCGACGTACAGGTGGTAAGTCAAATATAATGTCAAAACTTCTTTTATTAATATCTATCTATGAAAAGGTCATCGTCGATTAGAACCTAATGAGCAGCATACAGACATACCAATTCTAGCTATACCAACTAGTAACATATCATCTAGTTATCAAAAACTGACTCCATATGGTAAATCAGTAACAGTAAAAACAGAAGAATATCCACTTTCAAAACCAACAATGCATGATACAAATTTAACTAATGCACAACTTATTATAACACGTGATGCTGATGGACGTCATCATATTGGACAAATAACATATAAAAGTGAAGATGATCTTAATCAATCACATTCATGTCCTCATCATCATAATAAACAATCATCTCCAATACCAAAAATAAAAAGTGTCCGTGGTACAGGACTTTTAATAACATCATCTATTTATGATAAACAATCATTAACAAGTACTGATCAAGATTATTCATCGTATACACCAACATTATCAATTGAAACTAATGCAAGTAATATATCAACAAGTGGAAGTCAACAATATAGAACAGAATCAATTATTGAACAACATTCACAATCGAAAATTCTCAAAGATAATTATAAAGAGAATAAAAAAATACTAACATCAATTAATAAACAATCTCAATTAGGTTTTACGGAATCATTCATTGATAATATTGATGATTTTATGACACCAACATTAGATGAATGTGAACATGATTTTGATATAAGTGATATTGATGACGTTATGCAAATAAATAATCATGATGAAGACCGAACAAATATCGATGAAGATAGTTTAGAAAGTTGTGAAGGGGTCTTAGAAATTAACAAGAAATCAATATTACCATCTCGTCCAATTATTTCAGATATAAAACCAAGTATAGCAAATGTAAAACCAGGCGGAATTTGTACAGCACTGTATTTAGCTCAAAAACAACAACAAGTATCAAATTATAAAAAATTATCATCAACATTTTTATATACACGTTCAAGTACATTACCAAATGTAATTGAAGCTGTAAACAAACAAGAACAAATAAATAAAAAACGTCGTAAAACCACAACTATTACACAACGTTCGCAATCCACAGAATTCTTTGATAAAAGTTTTTTGAATGATACATCAAAACTTGATCGAGATTCGGGTTTTGATGAGCAAGATTTTCGCTGTGAACGTTCACATTCAAGTTATGATGATAATTCAAGTATATCATCTATAAAAAGTGTACGAAGTTCAATCGCTCGTTCATTATCATCGGATCTTAATGGACAAACATATCGTGAAAATAAAGCTTATGAATTACGTTTAAAAGCACTTGATCATACAAAAAATTTAAATGAACAAATCATACAAGATCCAAGATTAAATGTACGAAGAAATTTTAATTATGCATCAACACGAGCAAATGATACAATTTATTCAACAACACATAAATATAGAAAAAATAGTCAACCAAATTTTTATCTTAAACGTCAACAATTATAATGAATTTATAATTTACAATTCTTTTTCTTTTCTTTTTTGTTTGTTTGTTATTGTGCACAGTGATTTATTAGAAAATTTTTTTCTTTAAAATCATTCCTTGAAATTAATATATCTTGTATAGGTGTTTTTTTTTGTGCTTTATGCAGTGACTATCGTTAATTCATTATATTTACGACAATGGTAATTAAAGTTATTTTCGAACTTACACGTTGATATATTCATGAATAAGAAAAGTCAAATTGAGATTATTCCAAAAACGACTACTATTTGTTGTCCATCAGGATCGCAATTGATAGAATAAATATAATAAATACACAAAGTTGTCATTAGTTTGTCATGAACATGTGAAAACTTGATTACAAGAAGAACAAACAAAAAAGCAGTTAATTTGAACTGTATTTATCATTACATTGAGATGTAATCAATGTACTGCACTAAATGTCTTCAAAAGCATATCTTAAAGTACATTGTTCGAGTAAATGCTATGAATGCACAATATAAAAATAAATTTCATTGGAGTCTGAACGCACTCTAGGTGGTCAACAAGCGTTCACATGTACTTTGAAATGATCTATTCACATTAATAATAATTGGGCGTAACTAACAGATATTATCAGTATACTCTATGAGTCTTCATTATAGAGCCTATCTTGAAAATGAACGGTAGAATCTGCCGGGTTGGTCTCTGATGCGAGGAATTCCATTTGCAAAGATTTTCTTCTCAACAGAATTTTCAGATCACTTTGATAATGGTCCATGTATTTCTGAGTAAATAACCAATGTTATTTTGAGTTTGATTAGCTCAGATTCTCGAAATCGAAATAAAACTTATATGCAATAAATTGAATTGCTTTTTGAGTCAAACAAACAAAATATATTCTAAGGTATTTGAAGTCAATAACGTTCATTATGCATAACTCAATGTCTTATGATATAACTTTTTCCTATAGAAGTACACCCATTGAAAGTCCATCATATTTTTGAGTGAAAGTGGTTTTTTCGATTTTGACCACACCGTGAGCTAGCTCGCGGTCGAAAGTAGTTTATGAACAGAAAGAAAAAATTTATTGATACTTAAAGTCTGAAGATGAATCTCCTAACTTTAGGTATCAACATTTTTTTCATCGCTCAAAGTCTTTTCTACTGCATGCTCAGTCATTGCATGGCCAAAATCAGCAAAAACTATCTGGATGGTGGAAATGTGGATGTGGGTTGGCCAGGAGAATATTCCTAATGACAGCCATACCCATTCGCCCCTCTGGAAAAAAACATCATAAAAGAATCACTCAAGACTGAGCAATGTATGTCCAGTGTCGGCTAGCATGATGATAACAAGTCCGACCGGCTCAGAATCGTCCTGTTGATATTCAAGCCAATGCTTATCTATGAATTTTTCATTTGCGCGATTAAACTGGTATCGCAATATTTGCACCGTATAATTGTATTTGCAACTACATGATTTTTTTGTCAACTGTCTTATAGAAATTAAGTCCAACAACACCCATTTACCCCATTTTACTTATCTGGTCTGATTACTACTTTTTCTTAAAAATTTCAAAACAGATGCTATAATTTTTTTGCAAAAGCTGTTAGTATTTCAATTCCTTGTCTTTTTCCTTCTTCCTCTACAATTTTTGCCCATTGTTGCGCTGTTACTTTTAATCGTAATTTTTCGTAGTTCGAAGGATAAGCTGCTATACTGCTGAGAATTCGGATTATCTTGAATCCTGCACCTTGAATCATATTTCCTAAAAGTAGTTCTGTCCAGGTATACATATGATTGTTTAAGTCATGCTTTTTGTAAGACCATTTCTGTTTTTCTGAATAATTTGATACTGACTGACGTCCTTCATTTTTTACTTGAATTTCCAACATTGAACCGGAACGCATTTTAGAATACAATTGTCTTAATAGCATTATTGGAGCTTCAACATGTTCCAATACAGATATTGAATATGCATAATGAATTGCATTGTCTGGTAATTCAGCAACACAACGAAATGTCGTTAAGTTATATGTTTTTGCAGCGTACTCTCTTGCATGAAAATTGATTTCCACACAAAATTTCTTCGCACATTTTACCGTATTTAATACAGCGCCCGCTGAACATCCGATTTCTAAAACAGTATATTCTGGTTTTATACGACCCCATCGTGTTGGATCAGAATGAGTAGCTTGAAACATTTGATGTCGTTTTTGCCATTTGAAATAGTTAGCATCATAATATTCTTCATATGGAGACTTGGGACCACATAAATCATTTTTCATTTCAATTTGTGCTCGTGAGCCATTGTACGCAACAAGCCCATCGCTAATCATTGATGACGAATGTTTAAAATTAGTTTTTTTATTACAGTAAAGAACCAATATAATATAAGCAACAGTCAGCAGTACGAAAACGAATATTACTTGCCGTTTCATAGAATACGTTTTTCGGGGTGTGAATGTAGGTGATCGTGCGGTTGAAGAGATAGTTTTTACTCACATTCAACACCTAATTAAACATGAACATTTTAATAGAATGGTCGACCATAGTCAAATAGTTCACGATTGTGAAGCATAATTTTTAGGTAATAAGAAAAATTGTAATATCAAACTTAAATAAAGTTCATTCGAATTTGCATTTAAAAACAAACAGTCGTCGTTAAGTAGTCAAGAAAATAACTCAAAATGATCACCCTGATCGTCACCTATAACTTTCAAAAAGAACGCAACTCGTTGATGAATAAAAAAGAAAAAGAAGTCACTTACTTATGTAAGCAAAATGAGCACTGCATTTTTTCATTTCAGCGAAAAAGTCGAGTCCTTCGAAGCAAAGTACACCAAATAAATATTTGGTTTGCTTGTACATACATTCAAATGGTAGAAAAGAAGGAGCATCGATGTTTTAAATCATACTCAGTTGCTGAGTGTTCTAGCTTTTACTTATTCATTGTCCCTGAAAATCGATAAGTTTGCATAAAGTAACAGCTTGAATTTTTGCTATTACTTGCATAGAAAAGTACAATTATAAAACAGAGAATGGTGTATTTTCTTTGCTTACTTTTTCGCTTCCCGAGAACATCTTATAACTACTATTCGGGTGAAGCTTGAATGATCATGTTGTCACATTTTCAACCATTTTACTGGTGAGGATGCTCGTGACGTGGTTATGAAGAATTCGAACCATCAGTGTTAATCTACACTTAGATATATATTCTCAATGTTTTGATCCAGTTCCTTTTCACATGAAGGATGCTACTATTTTTTTGAAAAATTTCACGTAGCCTTTTGTTTTGCTTGAATTCGAATGACTACCACAATTCTTATCCACTTAATGTAGGCATCAAATATTATGTGGAGGGAATCATGAGTGTCCATAAATAGAATACCCACATCGGCTTCGACATTCTTCACAAGCATTCTCTGCTTCTAACGATCGATCTCGGTTTTCATTTAATATAAAATGATAAAAAACGACATCGCGTTTGGTTGCAAGAAAATTATTAAATCATTACGCTCCTGGTTTGTTCGCATTCAATGTAATGAGAATAAACGATACAGAAAGAAAAAAAAACGCCTTGAGCTTATCGATTTCTTCCATTTCTTCATACGGCTGATGCTGTAAACAACTCAACATGATTCACTTGTTTTGACAAAATCAAGATGGAGACAAGTATATCTTCGAAAAATATTCGCAAGAGATGTATCAATGATGTAAGTATTTTTTGACTGTCTCAGCATTTATCTGACTGCAACACACTGTTTTCTCAGTTTTTTTTACCAGTTTTAACGCTTTCTAAATTCTCATCTCGTTAAATCGCGCATACTCCAATCGAAAAAATTGGATTTTCGCTCCTTTTCTCTTCATTCTCTACTATTGTGTGTCAACGAGAATGAACATGTTTTCCGGGAGATATGAAAGTGTCAGGCTCATTATCTTTCTTCGTGGAACCCATACTCTTTCTCGCGCTTTCATAAGCATGGTTTCATTGAGTTTGTTTACCTGGGAGGTCTAGCAAATAAGAATTATAACATCTTTTCTTCTTTCTTAAGAAGGATGAAAGAAATTGTGGGGTGTGGGTGCGAGTATTGATATGGATGTGGAGTGTGCTTGTCGATGTGACTAGAGTGAAGAACTACACCCACACCCAATTTTGCTTTGCTATTCGAAATAAATTTTGATATGAAAGTTTTTTTGTTAAAGGAAACAATTTGAGCAGTTATTGTTAATAAATAACTGATGTCGAGTGCTGTACAATAAATTATTTTGGGTGATGTAGATAAAAAAAAAATAAAGTTAAATGATACTTACTTTTTCTGTCTACTTTTGTGCTTGTATGGAGTAAAACAGCTGATCATTGAATTAATAGTTGTAGAATCAGCTAGATCTCAGGGCGAAAGAATATTCACAAAAACATTTTTCTTTCTGATGTTAAAACTGATCGAAAGATAAATTTTCAGGCAATTTTTTAGATTTCGAGTAGATCTTGGTGATTAGGCTAAGTAAAATATGCACCCGATAATCTGTGGAATGCGTTGTACATCAGTTTCAAGATTGTTAAAACGGATTTACTAAAAAAATAATGCTTCATAAATTAATTTTGTTATACTTCTTAAATCTTGATTACCTACTGCATTTTTCTTAATTAGTCGATTTTGGTGAATTCAAAGAGTAATAATCGATTTCAATTTTATTTTCTTGTTGAAAATTTATTTTAAATTTATCTAATAAATTCAAAAGATCTTGTCTAGTATGATAAGTCATTGAGATAGAAGAAATACGACAAATATATTAATAATGAAAATACATGAATACACAGATTAACTGATTATTTATTATAACAAATATCAAAAGCAAAGGAAAAAGAAGGCAGTTTTATGCTGTACAAAACTTAGAGATTTAAACATAGACATATAGAAAAAAAAACGAGACTTTGAATCTCAGATGTGAGACAAGACGTTATCGATAAATTTAGCTGACATTACAAAAATGTGAAAAACAGCGATGAAATCAAGGACGGAATGTAGGTTAAAAATAAAATATTTTGTTTGTTTTATGAACTCTCTCCATTAATAGTATTTTGCTGTTCTATTAATTGCATTTCAAGTTCTTTTATAGCTTTTCAATGAATTTGATCCATGTGAGCTAGTTTTGTTGAATGTTGTTCTTGTAATGCAATAATAAATTTAATTAAATCTAAAATTAAAAAAAACATATTTTTAAAAGAATATTTTGATTGTATTTTTACCATCTTTTGATGAAGATTATAGATCATCAGGTAACAATTGATAATGATTATTATGATCTGCATCATATGTTGGTAATTTATTAAAACTGAATGTTGTGGCAAGTAAATATGAATCTCCATTGTAATTAAAATCATTGATTGGTGTTGATGGACATGTTACTGGTGTCAAAAAATTTTGAATCACCACGAGTACTTAAATGATATATTCAAATTGGAATATAAGAGAAATGTATGCTAAAATATTACCTTAACGATGAATCAACATTTTCAGGTTCTAATAATGAACGATTAGTATTTGATTTTTCCATTCGAAGAGCATGATTCTGTATAAAAAAAAAAGCTTAGAAGAAAGACAATGATATGTGTAGTAGAGAAAGCTTCGATGGAATACAGTTGTTATATGGTTAAATTTGATGACGAAGAATATCTGAGAACAACATACATTAGTTTGGCACTCTCAGTTGCTCGTCAAATCATAATTTGCTATGAATCAGTGTGATTCTGAGGATTATAGAAGACTTATTTTCATGATGATCTTTAATATGTAATTGTGGGCGGGGGCGGGGGGGGGGGGGGGGGGGGGGGGGGGGGGNAGCTATCTATAGGTGATACTATGTAAAGAGCATATTCATAGGTCATTCACTACGATTTAGCGATGCTATCCATAAGTTATCAGTTGTTATATAAGAGGGGCAGTTTTAAATAGCTCGAGGACTAATATATAACTCGTTACTTATCGACTATCTGCTACCATATAATTGGAATATCGATAAACTTTCAATGCTGATAGAAAGTGCGTATTCATTAACATTCGTGACGCTTGTTGTCGAGATGCCCAAAATTGGTCGTATACTATCTAATTCTGGTACTAGTTTCTGTCTATCAGCTATTAAAGTGAGTTTCTGGTAGTTCATCACGAACTGTTTAGAGATAGTGTACATAAATCCAAAGGTATACAGAGACTATTTCTCATATGTCTTCAGAGCTTTCATAGAGAAAGTCGTGAGCGAAAGGCAGCTCTTTGATGTTCGCGTGTAATTGTCGTGTATGGGACGTATTGTGGTCGTTGGGTATCCGTTCTGTTCATCTACAACTTAACAAAACTACGATCGTCTTTTATTTCGCTTGAGATCACATTGCGTCGTCTCTCCATCGGGTTTCGTTTTACAATTGAGATCACATTACGTCGTCTCTTTACCGAGTTTCTTTTTACAATTGAGATCGCATTACGTCGTCTCTTTACCTAGTTTCGTTTTACAATTGTTGTTATTTTGATCATACTAGATTCTTTGTTTTGTATATGAGCGTCATGTCCTTCAAGTAATTTCTGCCACCTACATAGACATGATCCATGCTTTGCGTGCTTGTGTTTGTTTAAATATCGCCTTTCTATCTGTTCACGTAACAAAAATATTTATAAATCAATTTATTCTTACTTTGCTTATCTAGTAACAATCTTGAGTGTTTCTATTCTGGATCCGTTAGAGAGTCAATAAGCATCAAGTTTGATGGGAACATATCGAAAAGAAAATAGTGAAGTCAAAAAATATCGAAAAAAAAAGATGTTTCCTAGACCCAGGTCGAGAAGTACGAGCGGGCTCTAGCAGGAAAATACTGGAAGTCGCAGGAACAGGGTAACAATATTCTGGCCGGAAAATTTTCGGATTTTTTCCTATGACTTCCGGTAAAATTTCCCCCGTTTCCTGTTGGAAGTTGTCTGTCAGTCACTGGAAAGAATCCGAAAATTTTCCGACCGGAATGCTGTCACCCTGTTTCGGAGAATTTCGATGTTTTTGTGCATAATACGGTGAATTTTCGCGCATCTTTCCTACAAGATCCTGTGGGATCCGGTGATTGGAGTATTCGACCTGAAGAAAAGAGTGATTCTAATCACTTATAGTTTACTGTTGGCTTTTTTAAATGCTTCTTATCTACACTTCTATTCAATAGTAATAGTGTTGAGAATTAATTGATATAAACTACTCAAAAGAGTTGTACGAAGACTCACCGCGTAACTAAAATTGTATCGTTACGGTTAAAGTTGTTAAATCTTCAACAAATATAACTGTACCAAGCTAAATAGCTGTT